CTCTCTCTCTTTCTCCCTGTAATCAGCTTAAACAAATAATCCACTCAGACCATCCAAACAAGATGTCAGTGTTCAAAATTAATGGATGTATTGATCTACACAATCCACAGCAAGAAATTAACATGATAGAATAAGTTTCATCTTCACAAGATTTGAGCAATATACATAAATAAAACTATTGCAGGTATATAATGAGATATATGAGCATTGAAATGTTTTTGAAAAAAGATTTGGTGGATGGATGAGTGTCATAATCAATCACACATGCTAGTCGTCATTTCTAGGAATGCACAACATTGGATTTTTGCCAATATCTGATATGCTAAGATTTTCCCGCTCATTTTAGCCGATTTTTTTCAACCTAACTGGAAAGAAATCAAGTCTCTCCTGTACTGGAATGAACATATTATTGTGTCTACTCCTTTTGTGATGGCCCACTGTAAACTGTAAAATTCATTCTACTTTAACAGGCTTGGATGAATCCTGACAAAAACCAGGGCAAATCTGACCTATTTTGCAAGTTGCAAAACAAGTAAATAAATGTAATCTGTCCACAGGGATCATGTAAAAGCCAGTGCATTTTACAACCACAGCCATTAAAGCCAACTGACCAAATAATGATAGACCTAGTGTTCTCCTTTTCACACTATTGAATAAATGAGCTTAAATTAGCAGGCTACATATACTCCAAAGATCCTTGCTTAAACTCAGTAATATATTAAAGGTGCAGTAGGTAACTTTTATAAAAAAAACTTTTTGTCAGATTTGCTGAAACTTTCGCTATATCCTGACAGTAGTACATTAAACAGATAATTTGTGATAATTAGGTTCCTCTGGCTCCTCCTAGTGCTCGATCCACAGGGCCTTATGAAAACAACCGATTAGAGCCGAGAAAGATAGTTGTCAAGCGACCTGGCAAGCCACCAACCGGAAGTGGCTTTCTATCCTTGTCAGCTCTGATTGGTTGTTTTTGTTCAGGTGCGGTGGATCGAGCACTAGGAGGAGCCAGAGGAACCTGATTTCTTATTTTTTATTTTTTTTTTGTACAGATCATGATATAGTTAAAGTTATTTTTTATAAAATGTATCTACTATGGCCAAAAATAGTATGACATCTTGCAACTGAGGCAAAGCCATACCTGGAAAAATGTAAATAAATGTAGTTTCTGATTGGTCCTGGGGGTGTCGCAATCACGTTTTTTTTGGTCTGGACTGGAGAAGAGGCTGCTGACAGGTGTTTTTCGCTGGTGCCTGTTTCTCATCACAAATTGGTTGTAATGACCTAGATGACTGGTCTCTTGTTGGCTAATGAAATATTTAATTTTTAATTAAAATGACCAGTCAGAATTACTTTGGCCCATTTGAAATTTTAATCCTGGCGCCATGCCTGCAGAAACACACCATCCTCATGCAACTGCACTTAAAAAGCAGCGACACACATCTTAAACCCCTCCCTGGTTAATTTCCTTCAAACAGTCTTCTTTTGAATGGTCATTCATAAATGGTTTTACATTGTCAGCCAGTCGATTGAAGCTGTGTTTGACAGATGTGATTTATGTGAACAGATGTGTTGCTCAAAGTGGAAAATACACGCTTGATGTAGTCATTTGATTGATTTGATTGAATTTCAGGTAATTGTCACTTTATTGTGAGGGCAGAAAATTAGTTTGGAAGGCAAGATTTATACCATCCACACACTACAAAAGTAAGAAAATGAGGTTGGAGGAAGAATGATGGACTAGTGGTGAGAAACCCAACTTTTAAACTTAAACTGAATCTAAACTCTGTCTGTTTTTTTGACTCTTAGGTACATGGCTAAAACGCCACCACGCCTTCCTGTGCCTGGCCTTTGTGTGGATGTATGCAGCTTTCTGGGCCACCATGCCCCTGATTGGTTGGGGGAACTATGCCCCGGAGCCCTTCGGGACCTCCTGCACGTTGGACTGGTGGCTGGCCCAGGCCTCCGTGTCCGGACAGAGCTTTGTGATGGCCATCCTGTTCTTCTGTCTCATCCTTCCCACAGGCATCATTGTCTTCTCCTACGTCATGATCATCTTTAAGGTCAAGTCTTCTGCGAAGGAGATATCCCACTTTGACGCCCGCATCAGAAACAGCCACAGCCTCGAGATGAAACTCACTAAGGTGGGTGAGTGTGGCAAAGAAAAGGTTTCAGTGCTGCTCATGGAGGAACCGTTTGAAGGACAAATCTGTGATGTGCTTTGTATCCTCTCCCAGGTGGCTATGCTGATCTGCGCAGGCTTCTTGATAGCCTGGATCCCTTATGCAGTGGTGTCAGTGGTGTCAGCGTTCGGGGAGCCAGACTCGGTGCCCATACCCGTGTCTGTAATTCCCACACTGCTGGCTAAGTCCTCAGCCATGTATAACCCCATCATCTACCAGGTTGTGGACCTGAAAAATTCCTGCATGAAATCCTCCTGTTTTAAGGCTGTGAAGGAACGCAGGCATTTTAGGAAGTCAAGGTAAAACGGACTGTTATCTTTCTAGCCTTTATTCCTAAGAAATTGTAGACAAAGCATAGCTTTCGTTCAGGCGGAGCACTGGAGTTACGCATGCAGCTGACTGGGATCAGTGTTTTTTTTCACGCTTCATAATCATCGGCCCATGCAACAGTTGTGTGGCTACCAGCTGACCAGACACATCCCACATACAGTATTCAGTCAGGTGTACAGGGCGGACATTATAACCCCTCACTGTTACTCTGCTAATACACCGCTTGCTGCGACACCTCCTTCACCACCCCAACCTCACTTCAATCACACTAATGCACACCCCCAGTTTGGAGAAGCAGACAGGAATACTATGACAGAAGTAAAGCTGCTGTGGAAGGGGGTTGTAGTAAAACGTACTTTTGGCACAGAAAAAAAATAAAAAATAAGAACACTTAAACTGCTTTACCCTGCTGTCAGACAGCCTTTTTCTTTGGCACTACATTTCCTTAGCCCGTTTAGCGTCCATCTGCAAAAACTCTTGTTCTGTGTACTCTGGTTCCTGAAGGTATCGTCTTGCCTCCATAGTGAACGTCATTTTGTGGTTGCTGTCATAATTCACGTCTCTTTCTGTCATGTCTCATTTTTCTTTACTTGTGTTTGTTATCTCTTCCATAAACTGCTGTAATGCCGGTCCAAACAGCTGATCTGTGGTACAATACAATCACTGCACACTTGGGCTCATGCATAGGAATACTGCACTACAGAAAATGTAGTGCCAAAAGAAAGGGCTGTGGGATGGCAAAGCATAGTATAGCGCATCATTTTTAATATGTTATTGTTGCCCCCCCCCTCCACAGCAGCGCTTTGCTAAGCTTCCCTGCTGGCACTCCTGTCTGCTAACCGCTGTCTACTGTAGGTAATACACTGACTGTGGATAAGAAACTCATACAATCCCACTTTGAAAAAAAACACACAATAACCCTTTAAGTGTCTGGGACTGAATTTTAATTTAGCTTAACCTTAGCACCCATTTGACACATTTCATGTCTATCGCAACATGCAAGGCAAGCAAGCAAAACAGGAAACGGCCCTGGAGCCCCAGATTCCTTGTGTGACAATTAGCTTATTGTAATTTGATTTGTTTTTAAAAAGTGCATAAATAAAGCACAGTATGAGCTCAAATGATAAGGGCCTGAAGGTATCTTCTGTATCCTGTATCTTTACCCCTTCTTGAGGCCTGTGTGGAATGCGTGCATCAGTTTGTTTTAAAACCTAGTTTTGATACTTATATTACTTCTGTTATATTGTGCATATTTCTAACTAAGTGTGTGTTTACTTAATTGAGGAAAACCTGGGGAAGGTATTCCAGCATAGATTTACTGGTTTACTCGGGCCTAAGCAAAGTTTAATTAAGCTATCATGTGTAGTCTGCTATGTGCGCTGTACCTTATGAGCACTAATAGGCAACAGGACACATACAGAATACACAGGGAGCGGGAGGAATGTTCCAAGACGGTGCTCCATTCATTACAAAGAGGGTCATCACTGGACACATGCAGAAAAAGCTCCTTAGGCTTCCGCATTTTGAGATTGGAATCCACGATAAAGTCCTTTGCTGGCTGAGCAGACTGACTTCCTGCACGCATAAACGGGATGAATACAACTTAATAGTTTGTAATACTCAGAAAAACTGTATTTACTTTTTGAAAGCAATTTCTTTTGTAATGTTTGTATGAGGGAAAATTCTTTCTGGGCTAGTGTGCATCATGTGAGCCATGGTTGTCACTACGCCAAAATCCCCTCACAGTCCAGTACTGTTCATGGGGGCTTGCATGACAACATTATGCTTCCTGTTTTTCCATCACCCAAAGCATAATGGGAAAAAACTCACATTAATATTCAGCGCAAATATTATTCACAATACCATAGAAATTTTGTTGCATTTTCCATTGTACACAATTAGTAAATTGTACAAGTATAGTAAATACCAAATGTTGGTATTTCTACACAACTGTGAAATAGACTGGAGAGAATGGCACAAACAGGGTGGTTTCAGATATTAATGTGATAAAATGGTAAATTTCCTGATTCCCAGTTAGGAAAAACTGCAGAAGCATTTATGGCACAATACTGTGGCTTTGGACATAAAATTGCTAGCCCCAAGTACATTTTAAAAGTCTTTACAAACTTTTAAGAGTTTATTGTAGTTATTGTTAGTTTTAAAGTGGGTTTATTTGTACCTACAGTACAATTTCTGCAGTTCAAGGTGTCAGGCTCCACGTCGTAGGGTGTTACAGTGGTTTAACTGTATTAGTTTAGTCAATTAATGGTAATCAAAATTTATAATTTTCAAAAGATAATAGAAAATGACTTTAATTAATATTAAAGATCCCCGGGGCACCACCCTTAAGTAGGGATGTCCAATAATATCGGCCCTCCGATATTATCGGCTGATATTCACAAAAAATTTTAATTCGGAATGTATCGGGTATCAGGTTTACGATAACCGGATGTTGTTCTTGTAGGGCTTCCAGCTTCCGAGCCTGCATGACGCAGCATGACGTCTTACCACGCACGACTAGATTGATGACGTGATAACAACAGACAACTACTTAGATGCTCTTCGGAGGGGTGCGGTGGGGCCCCGGTTGGTTGCTGTAACCGTGGCTAACAAGGCAAACAAATTTTAAGCTGAATATTTTAATTTAAACACAAAAACATTAACCATAGCTAGCGCTTGAGCTTAGTGATTAGGCGCTTTATAGCTAGCGATAGCGCTTAGGCTAGCGGCATTACTCGGGTTAGCGCTCTTATTCATATTAATACAAATGCATAAGTTGAAGTTTTCTTCCTTAATTTGTTGCACAGTGTGTTGCATTTGGAAAGGCACTGACCAGTGGATCACAAAAATTTAGGCATATGTGTTTAATCCACAATAAGTGAGATATGTTATGTTTTACCTAACAGTTTTTGGTAAAATGCCCTATAATCGGTTATCGTGCATAGCTCGTACGGAAATTCTGAGAAGTACAATCGCCTAGGCGCGCGGAGTACCGAATATCGGGCAGGAAAAAGCCAATATCGAGATCCTGACCCTTAAGTAAGGGGAAACAATAGCCAATAATGTGATGACCAGTCTCATAAAAACTACCACCAACTATTAATCAGATAGGTCAGATTAAATAATTAAATGAAATGAACAACAACCAAAAAATCAGTTATTAATTTGCT